CATCCTTCACCGGTAACCCCACCTCCCCTCCTACACCTAGCCTGCCTGCAGAAACAACGTCCAAGACCTCACCTGCATAGCTGATGGCCTGACAACACACAAACATCTCCAGTCCAAACTCTGTTTTTATACAGGAAATAACTACTAAATCACGGCTAACCCTTTTCTGTCTGCAGGGAGGCGGAGGCCTCTACAAGTCATCACACTGTTCCATCAAAGGGCTTCCTGAGCTCACAGAGGATGATTCTGCTTCTACAAACACATTTTCCTCAGTGAGTGCAACATGTACAGGGGTGAATCTTATTGAATCTAAAATATCATATCACTTATACAAGTATATAACCTATAAAGTATATAACCTGTAAAGTGTGTAACCTGTAAAGTGGGTAACTTGTTAAGTGTGTAACCTGTAAAGTGTGTAGCCTGTAAAGTATACAACCTATAGTGTGTAACGTATAAAGTGTATAACCTATAAAGTATGTAACCTATAGTGTGTAACCTATAAAGTGGGTAACCCGTAAAGTGTGTAACCTATAAAGTGTGTAACCTATAGTGTGCAACCTATAAAGTGTGTAACAAAGTATATAACCTATAAAGTGTGCAACCTATAAAAGGTGTAACCTGTAAAGTGTGTAACCTGTAAGTGTGTAACCTGTAAAGTGTGTAACCTGTGAAATGCGTAACCTGTAAAGTGTGTAACCTGTAAAGTGTGTAGCCTGTAAAGTATATGACCTATAGTGTGTAACCTATAAAGTGTGTAACCTGTAAGATGTGTAACCTGTAAAGTGTGTAACCTGTAAAGTGTGTAACCTATTAAGTATGTAACCTATAAAGTATATAACCTAAAAAGTATGTCATCTATAATGTACATAACCTATAAAGTGTGTAACCTATAAAGTGTGTAACCTATAAAGTGTGTAACCTATAAAGTATCTAACCTATAAAGTGTGTAACCTATTAAGTATGTAACCTATAAAGTGCATAACCTATAGTGTGTAACCTATAAAGTGTGTAACCTATAAAGTGTGTAACCTATAAAGTATCTAACCTATAAAGTGTGTAACCTATAAAGTATGTAACCTATAAAGTGTGTAACCTATAAAGTATGTAACCTATAAAGTATGTAACCTATAAAGTATATAACCTATAAAGTATATAACCTATGAAGTATATAACCTATGAAGTGTGCAACCCGGAACACCTTGCAACAATATCTGAAGCTGTCCACTTTGATTTCTTTAAGGGATTTTAAACATTTGATAAGGTCATTAGAAAAATCTAAGAAAACGTGTTCTTGTTTTTAGTATTTTACCTTGTTTTATATGGCACTTTGATTTGATTGTTATAACACTACTTTTACTTTAATTGCTTTTTATTGTTGTCTGTTTAAAACAGGTCTCTCTTGTAAATGATTCCTCGTAACTCAATGAGACTAACCTGTATAAATAAAGGTTGAATGGATGAATGGATGTAGCTATTCCAGCTAAAGTGTTCTTGCCCGTGTCTGTGTGCCTTTTCTGTCAGCAAAACGTCTCATGAACTACTGGACACATTTTAATGAAACTTTCAGAAATTATTCCCAGTTCAAGTTGATCACCACAGATGAATGACCTTACAAAGCACTGAAATAGCTATAACTTACCTAGTTAACTTAATTTTAGATACTAATGTAAAGTTTGTTGTGCTGGTAGCTGTGAGTGATTCTCAACACATACTCCAAGTACTCATTGTATGATATATTTACTTACAACTTTGGCATTACTGCTGGAGTCATCCTGGTTTGTCAAAGTCTCAAACTACTTTAAAGACTTTATTGACCATTTCACCAAGTCATAACTGGTCTTACCCCAAGTGCAGGAGTTCAAGTATCTTGGGGTCTTGTTCACGAATGAGGGAAAAATGGAGCATGAGATTGATAGGCAGATAGGTGCAGCGTCTGCAGTGAAGCAGGCGCTGTGCAAGTCTGTCATGGTGAAGAGAGAGCTGAGTCAAAAGGCGAAGCTCTCAATTTACCGATCAATCTACGTTCCTACCCTCATCTATGGTCATGAACTTTGGGTTGTGACCGAAAGAACGAGATCTCGGATACAAGCGGCCAAAATGAGTTTTCTCCGCAGGGTGTCTGGGCTCTCCCTTAGAGAGAGGGTGAGAAGCTCGATCATTCGGGAGGGACTCAAGAGTAGAGCCGCTGCTTCTCCACATCGAGAGGAGCCAGTTGAGGTGGCTTGGGCATCCGTTTAGGATGCCTCCTGGACGCCTCCCTGGTGAGGTGTTCCAGACACGTCCCACCGGAAGGAGACCCAGAGGAAGACCCGGTTCACGCTGGAGGGACTATGTTTCTCGGCTGGCCTGGGAACGCCTCGGGATTCCCCCGGAGGAGCTGGCCCAAGTGGCTGGGGAGAGGGAAGTCTGGGCCTCCCTACTTAGGCTGCTACCCCCGCGACCCGACCCCAGAAAAGCAGAAGAAAATGGATGGATGGATAGATGGATAGATGGATAGATGGATGGATGGATGGATGGATGGATGGATGGATGGATGGATGGATGGATGGATAACTGGACCGACCCGTGACTTCCACTGCTAACTGATATTAGCCAACACACAAATGGCTATAAGTCGGTCATTTTAACAGACATTAAGGTAAAATTTGATTGTTAGTAGCTGAAAGTCATAACACATACTCTGAGCGTGGCATCTCTCATGATTACAATAAATTGCACATACACACACAAATCACACAATAATATATAAAGAATATGGCTGTTATCCATTAAAATCTTACGTCTAAATTTGGTGACAAACGATACATGATGAAGTAAATACATTTTAAACTTTTAAGCATGAACTATCAGTCCAAGACTGTTGAAATAAAGTAACTGTTGCTCTGAACACAGAAAAAAAGATACTTCAAACCAGGATCACACAACAAAGACATAAGAGGATGAAATATCAGCCAAAATCACCCAAACCTACATAAACAGATCTACAATACTCAGAACATTTAATACCTCCTTGTCCCAAGGTGCAGATAAATCAAACTGACAAAGAGGTTCGGTGTCAAAACACTTATTTCCTTTTATCTCTCACCACACAGCAAACAACCTCCGCACAACCAGGTACACCACAACCACCAGTCACCATCTGCGTGACGTGCCAAGAGGAAACGTCAGGAACGGACCAATTAACGGGGCGATGACAGGAGCTAAAAGGCTGGATTAAAGGACTTGTTCTGTAAAGGTCAGGATGCACGCTGCTAATCTGAATCATGAGGCGAAGACAGGCTGACAGGAAGGGAGAAAAACAAACTGCACGTCTCTGATGAAGGATGGTGCTGCGTGACAGTGCTGTGTCAGAGAGCAGCGTAGACCTGTGTGTAGATACAACTGTGAGGGTCAGAGGGTCCATTTCCAACCAAAATCCCCCAACATTAAAGGGTTTGTTATTGTTTACAGACTGAAATGATAACAAACTAACAGCCTAGCATTAGTTGAAGGAATGCATATCACCCGCCACCTCTCATGACACAATTCTTGTCTAAGATCATCCTATAATGAGAAATGACTGAGTTGTAGCTAAAAAATTTTGACTGTGCACAGTCTCATGCAATATTGTGTGACGTCCCACTCAGAGGATGTACGTGTTGTGAATGACTCTCAGTGACTACCACCTTAATCTGCAGCTCAATATCTGTACAACGGACTGCGATATAACAAGTGATTTGTAAGGTCATCTGGCTGTGGCGGGCTTCAAACATAATGAGCTGTAGAAGAACATCCAGTAATTAGTTTCTGAAAGTATTAAAATCTGTTCAGTGGGTCATAAGATGTTTTGCTAACAGACAGACAGGGTTGAATCAAAATAGTTAACGGCAAAATTTTCTACTAAAATCTTGCAGCAAAGCGATGCAGTTGGTGGAGCGGTTGTCTCTCAGGGAGACCGGTGCCAGCTCTGATCAGGACCCAGCACCTTTCTGGGTGGAGCTACACGTTGTCTCCATGCAGGTGTGGGATTCCTCAGGGTACAGTAGTCCCTGGTTTATCGTGGGGGATCCGTATGCTGAAGCCCCACGATAAGTGAAAAACCACCAAGTAGGAATAGTAGTAGTACAAGTAGCAAGTAGTAGTTTATTTTAGTATTTATATATAAAGGTGTTTTAAACCCTTCCCACACTCTTGAAATATTCTAAACAATGTTTCTAAACTCTAAACGCTTTAAAAGAGCACAGAATGCCATGATGTCAGCTCCCTGCCTCAGCTGCTCTCAGCCACCTGCAAGTGCTCTTGGCCACGCCCACTTCTCTGCTGTGCACGGAGAACAGCTGATCAGCTGCAGCAGGAAGTTCATCCTGCAGCATGGGCTGTACAAATGTGCAGGAGGTGCTAAACAATTTAAAATAATTTATTTTAAATAAAAATTCCATGTCGATCGTGCTCATGCTCGTCCATCTATCAACCAGTTGTGTGTCATGTCCAGTCTTATTTTGAAAAACCGTGATAGAGTGAATCCGCGATAAACGAATCGCGAAGTAGCGAGGGACTACTGTACTTCCAGTTTAGGCTCATTAGTAGTTTAGTAATAGATACCAGCGACCCCCACGAGCCGGAAAGGAAGATGTGGGTTAAGATAATGGACGAATGAATGGAATCATGCACGAGCTCTGCCTCAGCTACAACTAAACCAAAGTTCAGCTCATTATATTTAAAGTTGATAGAATCATAGATATTTTCTGTTTTTATAGTCAGCTGCTGCGGAAGCCATCTTGAACTGGGTTGATTCCAAAAACGTATTAGTTGTAGACAAACATCCTATTATTACTTTCTGCAAGTTGCATTAAACACTGTTCAGTTTTTCATGATATTTTTTAAACATTATTGCCTCTGCTCTAAAGTGAAGAGCGGAAAATAACCTTTTTTACAATAAATAACACAAAAAGGTCATGCATATATAATATATTGTGCGTGTAGGTGGGACCGTGCTGTGAAAATGAAACTATCCTCACGTTTTTCCAGGAGACTTCTGGAGCCAGAATATGTCGTCACTGGTGATGCCGTGCTCCACCGCTCCAGGGACCTGCAGGAAAAGTTAAAGCTGTGAACAAAACTATAAAACAAATGTGTCAATAACAGTAAACAAAAGAACAGAACCCTGTCCTCTGAAACGTCATTAGCTTCAGGGTCTCAACTGAACAACTCGAGCTGAGGAACAAAGCATCTCAGCCAAACGATTATTTACATTTGTTGGATACTTGGGCCGTCCACCTGTGGCGATTACAATATTCTTGGCCGTCAGGATCGTCTGCAGGAGAAAAGAGGAAAACACCAGCTTTTGTTTACATCGTTAAAATGTCAAACAGCATCAAGTTGTCTCTACAGTATTCTGTGTGAGGGTGATGACAGGAAACCTCACAGGCGCTAAAACAGAGCAGGACTCAACAGATTGTGAATATTTAATGTAAAAATTCAACATGATGCAGAAAAGCAGAGGAGTTATTGTCTAAACTGAAAAGTTGTTTTTTATACATCACTCAGCTCTGGTTCTGCAAGATCCACATGAATAGGATGTAAAATCATGCATCTTCCAGTTTTAGCCTCAGATCTCAGGCAGTGAAGCAAACCGAGCAGCAGTGTTTACAGACAGCAGCTGATGGAGGACGGGCTGCCGAGTTTGCTGCTTGTTTCAAAACAACGAGCAGCAGAGAAACCAAAAAAATCTTCCTTTTCAGAGTTTAAGTTTAGTCATGGAGTTCCTCAGGGTTCAATACTTGGACCAATACTCTTTACCTTGTATATGCTTCCATTGGATAATGTTATTAATAATAATAATAATAATAATAATAATAATAATAATAATAATAAAGTGCTATGTATTGTCATCATTGTATGTTCCCATACAAAGACGAAGTTGGCTCTCTGCATTTAACCCAGCGCACCTGGGATACCCCCAGGTGGAGCAGTGGGTAGCTATGTAAGTGCCCGGGGAGCATTTCGGGATTGGGTGTCCTGCTCAGAGACACCACGAGATGTTCAATGATCGGGGATCTAACCCAGGACCTTCGGGTCCCGAGTCGGCTGCCCTGCCCCTACACCATCTCGGCCCCTATTAAACAGCGTGGGATACATTTTCATTGTTATGATGACGATACTGATTTGTCCATGAAACCCAATGAATCCAATCAGCTACTTAGACTAAGCATGTCTTAAAGACATAAAAACCTGGATGACCCTTAATTTTCTCCTGTTGAACACAGACAATGAGGTTTTGGTTTTTGGACCTGAGCACCTTAGGAATTAATTTTTCAGTCTTTCTCCCTCCTTGGATGGCATTAATCTGTCCTCCAGCTCTAATGTTAAAATCTTGGTGTTATTTTTGATCAGGACATTATTTTATCCCCCACATTAAAAACGTTACTAGAACTGCCTTCTTCCACCTGTGTAATATCACTAAAATTAGAAACATCTTATCTAAAAATGATGCAGAAAAACTGGTTCATGCATTTGTCACGTCTAGACTGGACTATTGTAATGGTTTATTATCTGAGTGTTCAAATACTTCTTTAAAACGTCTTCAGTTGATCCAAAATGCTGCTGCCAGAGTCTTAACTGGAGTTAGTAGGAGAGATCATATTTCTCCAGTTTTAGTTTCTCTCCATTGGCTCCCTGTCAAATCCAGAACTGAATTATAAGTTTTACTTCTAACCTACAAAGCTCTCAACAACCTAGCTCCATCTTATATTTGAGATCTTATTGTTCCATATTTTCCTAACAGAGCACTTCGTTCTCAAACTGCAGGTTTACTTGTGGTTCCTAGAGTTTCCAGAAGCAGAATGGGAGGAAGATCTTTCAGTTATCAGGCTCCTCTCTTGTGGAACCAACTTCCAGTTTCTGTCCATGAGGCTGACACATTGTCCAGTTTTAAGACTGGGATCAAGACTTTCCTTTTTGATAAATCCTATAGTTAGGGTTGGCTTGTTATGCTGCTATAAGTTTAGACTACTAGAGGACAAATTGACCTCATTTCTTAAATTGAATAGTTTTCATTTTATACTATTTCTATCTTAACATGTGATTCTTGACCTGCCATTGTGTATCTATTCCTACCAAACCCAGCTGGTTGAAGCAGATGGACGCTTGTACTGAGCCTGGTTCTGCTAAAGGTTTCTTCCTCATGAGGGAGTTTTTCCTTTCCACTGTCGCCTCCATGCTTGCTCAAGATGAGAGTTCTGCAATGGAGTTAAATTCAAAGCAGTCTGCTCCTCAGATAAATAATGATAAATTATTATTTTTATATATGAATGTTTCTGTTCAGTCCCTGAGACGACTTCTGTTGTGACTTGGCGCTATATAAATAACTTGAACTGAATTTAAGTAAGCAGAACTTTAAATCTCTGTTTGAAAGTCTTTTAATCACATTAAATAATATTTATTAACAGCAGTTAGTGCGTCTGCGATGATGTGAAATGTAACTGTGTGTGTGGCAGATGGCAGCCAGGTTTCAGCTACTCAACGAAGAACACTCTGTTGTGTTTTTAGACACTTGTCCAAAGTCTTATTGAAGAAATTATTGACATATATGAGGATAAATTGTATGAAGGTTCTTAGACTTCCAGAGCAAATAAAAACTATATAATTGTGTGTTTTACTGTAAATTAGAAATAGCAGAACAGTTGTGGCAAAGCCGTTGACGTTGAGTCCGTGTTCTTCTTTTCATAAATTCCAGTTCAGGATGTCCACTGCCTTGCACCCAGTAAGAGCTGCTACAGTCCACAGCTTCTGTGATGCTACTGTATAATTTATGAATGGACTGGACATTTTAATATAAATATATTACATTTTATATTTTTGTCATAATTAAATAAGGTTATTTACATGAATATGTATATGTTACAATGTGAAAAAGCCTCCTACCTCTTTTCCTGCTTTGCTCACTCCTCTTACTGTGTGTTCATCCAGCAAACTGCCTTTCAGGTTCAGATATTTCACCTTCCTGCAAAACCAGAGAACAAGCACATCACTAATGCTGCTGTATGTTCAGTAACTGGTTCAGGGAGAACAGCGCACGGCCATGTTTGTAACTCAGCTCCTACAAAGTCCCTCAGTATGTCTCTAAATGATTTCATCTGCTGAGATACACAAAGAACAGGGTGTAACAGGGAGCCAGCATACATTTTCTGCCTCAAACTAAATTTGACTTTGTTCCTGACACAATAATGACCAAACAATTTAACTCATTTCTCATTGTTTATGTTCTGAATACACTTTTCTGGCTCTGTGATTACAAATGGTGCTGCACTGATTTGTGAATGCATGCTCTTTTGGAGCTGTTGAAAGAAATAAAGTAAGAACAGTAGAGACTGGGGCATGAATAAAATCCTGATTTCCAGTAAATGATTTCATTGGAGTGAGAGGTTAACACCTGCTCGCCCTGCAGCCAGTCACTCCATCAACGCTTGGCTGCTGCAGCTCAGTCCTGCCGCTGCAGAGTGCAGCAGAAATCCACAGCCTTCAGCTGTTTCATGTGGTTAAAATAAATCATTTGATTTCTGAAAAGTGAGGACTACACGTATCTATTGTGCACAAGTTCTAAAGGTTTACTGAACATTTACTGTCCTGAACCAGCCCCCATTCTAATGTGTAGTCCTGTTTATAGATATGTAGACGAATCTATTTCCCTTTCTGATTAAGTGAGTGGCATAACCAGAGCATAATCAGAAAAAGAGAGGACAAAGTGAGAAGATCTGTTGTCACTCACTTGTCCTGCAGCTGGACTCTGTGACCCCAGTTTAAAGACTTGACATGATTCTGGACAGCCTCTGCCATGGTGGTCCTGAAAAACAACCCCAGAATTAAATTAAACACAAACCGCATTCAAGCTTATTTAACATTTTTAAACAATTACAGACAAGGATTTTTTTTGGTTCACTCATAATTTCTATATAATTTGATAAATGGTTGAAATTATTTACAAATTTTAACATTTTTAAATTGTGTTGTTTTTTTTAATGGTCACGAAAACTGAAACTAAGTACGACAAAACCAAAACTCAATCTGAAAAACCTCCCTAAAGCAGCAGCACTGTCATGTTGTATCTTCACCACAAGATGGTGCTGTTTACTCACTAATCCTCACGTGTAAGTGCACTGGAAGAGTTGTTACCAGTCATGGCAGACTGTCCCTGCTATCTGCCAGCCGTACTTCTGAGCATCTTTGACTGCAGCGCCAAGGAGGGCAGCCTGATGCATGAGCTTCTTAGGGATGCAGCCGACGTTGACACATGTACCGCCAAGACCCCACCGGGTACCTGTTCAGGCAAGAATTACCTGTGCTGTGATTTCCTGACCAGATTTGTCTGATGGAAACAGTGAAGCATGTTTTACCTTTAGCAGATGGCTCCACATAATCCAGAACAGCGACCTTCAGTCCCAGCTGAGCCGCTGCAGTGTGGACTCACAGTTAGTGTGTGATTAGACAGGAATCTATTTAACAGGCGACTATATATTATGAATAAAAGATCAAATAATTTCACCTTCTTTGGAGCAAGCCAGGCCTCCAGATCCACCACCAATAACCACCAAGTCATAGTCGCACTTCCCTGTGAGGCAACACAGCAAGTTGAATGCCTGACAGTCAAATCAGATTTAACAGAGTTGTTGTTGGCTGGAGGTGTGAAGCACAGCAATAACTGAGAATAAAGGTGACATTTAAAGAATATACGACTATGTGAACATAAAACGTACACTATTTGCAAAAGTTTGGCAGCGTTCAATACGTTTCAACTGGATAAAACTTCAAAAGTTTTATTCATTAAACAACTGTATCAATAGAGCTTTTTTTTCCCAGAAAGGTCCAAATATTATTTAGCATGAAGCAAAACAAACACAAGTGTGATTTTCAAAAGTATCATGTTAAAACTGTTCATGGTATGTGGTACATGTGGCACAGCGGTGCACTATGATCTTTGTGGTAAACATTCAAGGATTTTTTATTGCAGCTCACATTTTCCTGGTTGTGGTACGAAATTCGGACTCCGTGGTAAACACGGTGAGTAAAACATTTAGAACGTTGTGATCAGAGATCGCTTTCATTTTTGGCAAGTTCTGAGTTGATAAAGAAGCTTTCAAGAGAGAGAACACAACATTGTTTGTTCAAGTAGAATGGGACTGAACAGATGTCGGGATAGGAAAAACACATCAGTGAGGCCAAAATAGGCTTAAATTTAATAAGTCTCTTTAGGATTGGATTCTGTGTTCTGATGAGTTACTTTAGTCCATTGCAGAGTGATAAATTAATCAGGAAAAAAACTATCAATTTTATTTATTGCCTAGAGACTATAAACATTTTAAAGACCATAGACATACAAGTCTATAAAGACCCGAGTTTGATTTAGGTTGTTTGGTTCTGATAAACGAAGATCTGGTTAATGAATGTCTTTAATCCAAACCTTTTTGTTCCCTAATGGGAATGGAATTTATTTATTTATGTTAGTAAGGATTAATACTTTCAACATAGACTGGACACAGTGTACAGGTTTTAATCTGAACTCCTAATCTCATCGATGTGGTTGAGAATATGCGCCATTCATTCATGGAAGAAATCCAGCTGTCACTGTTTGGGGTTAAGGTAAAAATTAAAAAAAGACGATAAGTTTGAAAAGTGTTTAGTTTATTTGAATAAGTTGTGCGGCTCTGTTGGTTTGTTTGACAGAAGAAGACACGGAGTAATTTAACACAGATAAAACCCTCACTGTTTACGGTTTTAATGTAATTCATGAAACTTTTATGTCAAAGACGTAGTGCACAAAAGCTACACAAACACAATTAAAACATTTAATGTAATTTACCCGCGAGGTTTCTTGTGAAAACGTGTAAATATTGAATCCGTTTCCACCGGTGTCTGATCCTACAGAGGGCCGCCATGTTGTTATTAAGGAAGGACCCAAGATGGGACGGGGGTGGCTAAAAATTCGCCTTAACATAAATAAATTATTACAAAATACAGTAAATTGGTTGTAAAAATTTGTTTTGAAAAAGTCTTTTTCTTCATATTAACATAAGCAGATTTTTTTTTCTCATCATAAATTTACTATGCTTACTGAAATACACATTGAATAAAAAACAATTAAAGATATTAAGCGTAATCTGTAATAACTCAAATAGGCCTAAATGTCAGTCTAAGATGAAATTTAGTTATATTAACACTATCATTTTTTTAAGGGTTTTGAAATTTATTTCAACAAAATTTAATTTGAATTATATTCAATAACTTTTAGCCACAACAAAATTAAAAAAACAAAAACAAACAAAAACTACCTTAAATATAGAACAAGCAACTAAAATACAAGGGGGGACGACATATGAAAGTCACTCTAGAGTCCTTACTGAAGCAGACAGAAATTACCTCAATGCTACGGCTCCGATGTCTGAACAGGCTTGTGACAGAAAACAGTTTAATCAGTTTTATGGAAGGTTTAGTGTCGTTAGTTTAACAACTTATACAAAATTATTTTTCCTTTATGAGCTTAAGGATCTTCAGAGCTGCATGGAGATAGCTTTATCCATTTTTTCTTCAGTTTCTTTGTGTCTCTTTCTGATGTCCATTGCACTTTCCAGCACATAAAACACTGCAAGAATTAAAGCTTCCTCTTAAGGTGGAATCAGCATTGTCTCTTCTCGTAAAGAGCATCATTGCTACATTTTCAGTTCAGTCTGTTGCTCAGGTGAACATCCAGATATTTCTTGTCCTCCACCACATCCACCCTAGCTGTCTCACTGGAAGGACAGAATTTGGGGTTTGTTGCAACTATTTCTAAAATGCAGTTATTTTCTTTTCTTGTTCACATGTATTATAACATGTAACATGTTGTTTTCACAATATGGCCCAAAGCCTTCACTTAGCTTAAAAAAAACATTCCACAAGTGTAAAGTGCTGCAAGTGTAGTGTTGAAATGTCTAGCACACCTGTTGGGTTCTTTCGATAGCTCAGTTGCTAGGTTAAGGCTGCTGGGACATGGTTTGGGTTGTTTAGATCAAATATTGGGATCAATAGTTTGACTCAGTGGTTAAATCTGAGACAAAGTGTCATTTCTTTCTTTCATTAATTGTTTTTTTTCTCTTGGTGAAGGCGGATACTTTTCCCTCCTGCTCCTTTCTTGCTCTGCTCTTTGTCCAGTGAAACTTTTTTACAGCCTCTTTTTACATATCTTCCGAATTATGGATCTGGTCAGCTGGTCTCTCAATGCAATTGATCAAATTTTCTCAACAAGAAGACAGGGTGAAGGAGAGTCCTCCTGCCCCGATGGGACACTGGCAGCCGGATACACAATGGATTACTGGGGGAAGTGGAAGATCGTGTGTATGTTAGTCGAGGATGTTGAAGATAATTGGATTTATGATAACAGGATTTCTGCTTTTTGGAGTTGGTGGTTACCTGACATATCGAGAAATTTGGAAAACATCAGCAGCTGTTCTGGCCATTGTAAGGCTGCCCGTCATGTGTGAAGGAATGTGCTGTGCTGTCAACACTCAGACTCAAATGCTGTGCGAGCTGAGCCGTAACCTGGACACGATTCTTGATGAGAATTGCAGGTTTGGGGCTCCTGAATCTTGCTGGTGGGAAGGAATAGATCTTGGAGAAGTTGTAAGCTCTACTTGGCGTATGTGACCACAGTTTGGCTGTTTGGAGTCTCCATTGCAACGGACTAGCGAGACTGTAAAAGGCAGATGGAAATTATCAGAGCTCGGCCTGCGACTTTGCAAGTTCTCCGACTTAGAAATCATGAAGGGGTCTGAAATTTTCATCTTAGGTGCAAGTTCAATGTGAGAGACGTAATCTAAAAAAAATCCGGAAATCACAATGTATGATTTTGTACTAATTTATTTGTGTGTTACTGCTGCAAATAAGTATTTGAACACCTGCCAATCAGTTCTGGCCCTCAAAGACCTGTTAGTCCACCTCTAAAAAGTCAGCCTCCACTCCACTGATTATTCTAAATTAGAAGCACCTGTTTGAGGTCGGTAGCTGCATAAAGACACCGGTCCACCCCACACAATCAGTAAGACTCCAACTACTAACATGGCAAAGACCAAAGAGCTGTCCAAAGACACCAGAGACAAAATCGTAGACCTCCACAAGGCTGGAAAGTGCTACGGGGCAATTGCCAAGCAGCTTGGTGAAAAAGATCAACTGTTGGAGCAATTATTAGAAAATGGAAGAAGCTAAACATGACTGTCAATCTCCCTCGGACTGGGGCTCCATGCAAGATCTCACCTCGTGGCGTATCAATGATCCTAAGAAAGGTGAGGAATCAGCCCAGAACTACACGGGAGGAGCTGGTCAATGACCTGAAGAGAGCTGGCACCACTGTTTCCACGGTTACTGTGGGTAATACACTAAGATGTCATAGTTTAAAGTCATGCATGGCACAGAAGGTTCCCCTGCTTAAATCAGCACACGTCCAGGCCCGTCTTAAGTTTGCCCATGACCATTTGGATGATCCAGAGGAGTCATGGCAGAAAGTTATGTGGTCAAATGAGACCAAAATAGAACTTTTTGGTCTTAATTCCACTCGACGTGTTTGGAGGACGAAGAATGATGAGTACCATCCCAAAAACACCATCCCTACTGTGAAGCATGGGGGTGGAAGCATCATGCTTTGGGGCTGTTTTTCTGTAAATGGGACAGGACAACTGCACTGTATTAAGGAGAGGATGACCGGGGCCATGTATTGTGAGATTTTGGGGAACAACCTCCTTCCCTCAGTTAGATCATTGAAGATGGGTCGTGGCTGGATCTTCCAACATGACAATGACCCGAAGCACACAGCCAGGAGAACCAAGGAGTGGCTCCGTAAGAAGCATATCAAGGTTCTGGAGTGGCCTAGCCAGTCTCCAGACCTACACCCTATAGAAAATCTTTGTAGGAGCTTGTAGTGAGTCACGTGAGGTACGTGTCACTTGTTGTATGACAAATATATGGATATATATTTATGCATACTTTTCACGAGTTCTTCATTTTTCTGACTGTGTAAATGTCGTGCATTGAATTTAAAGGAATGCGAACGAGAGACGTTATTACCTTTGACCCATCAAATGAATGGAATCATTTATTTTCAAAATCAAAGTTTAACATCAAACATTTACATTAATTTGGCAAAATATGAAAATAATAACAGACAGTTTCACAGAAAATGAACTTCAAATCACTCGGCGGTGATTTGAGGACTTTGCTTCAGACATTTCTAAAAATATCTGTACTGATTTATGAGAGAGAAGAGTTTAAGATTAAATTGAGATTTATCTTACAGAGGAAATATGTGAGGGAATTTAATCTGTTTGACCAGAAGTTGCACGCTCCGTCCGATCTCAGCTTCTCACGGTACACTTGGTCAAAATAGAACCATCTACCTGTTGATGATGAATCAGCCTTGGAGTAGTTCCTTTCTGACTCGTTTCAGCGTCTCCGTCGAGAGCTACCAAACCTTCAAAGAGTCGTGCGTGGTTAGCTCAAAACAGAATTATAATCCCCAAAAAACCTCTGGATTCTTCATTGCTCTGAAGCTTTCAGAACCGACTGCACTCTCAATCTTGGAACTCTCACGTTCTCCAGAACTCTCAATCTAACATGAACTGGGGAGTTGCCACATTTTATTTGGGTCGACTTCCTGTTCAATTTAGAGCTTTCTGATTCGTGGAAGGACCAGAAAGAGGAGTGGTTTTGACGTAAGGTGTTTATCAACAGTCGAGGTCAGAGAATGAAACTTGTTTAACATACAGAAAAGATTATTGCAGAAGCAGCAGACTTTTTGGAGTCTACTCTTGGTAATCTTCTGAAAAAGTTTAAACATGACATTTCTTCTTCAGTAAACATTTAGCTGACCGAAGCCTCAACTTTCACACACTTACGACTTGCTCATTTCAGACAGAAAATCAAGAAAGGCATATTCAGGTGATTTCTTCTCTGAATGAGGAACAAAAATCATTACTTACTGTTTATGTAAAATAAAAATGAGTAGTTCTTTTCAACCTGTAAAGCATTGAGTGAACTAACACAATTTGATTATCAAAACATTCGTAAGACAGTAATGATTATAAAGAATTGTCTTTTCTGCTTGATTAATTCAAGAAAGAAAGTTCATCAGATGGTTCAGACTTATTCAGATCAATGAAAATAACAGTCTCTGTCCATCTGGTAGATTTGAGGTCATCTGGTTCACTACAAGCTCAAACTCCGTGTTTTTCAGTGACAGCCCAGAAACCTGACTGATCTAGAGAAGATCTGTGTGGAGGAATGGTCCACGATCCTGCTGCAGTGTGTGCACACCTGGTTAAAACTACAGGAAACCTTTGACCTCTGTAAGTGCAAACAAAGGCTACTGTACCAAATATTAACATTGATTTTCACAGGTGTTCAAATTCTTATTTGTAGCAGTAACACACGAATAATTAAAAAAATCATACATTGTGATTTCCTGATTTTATTTTTTTAGATTGTCTCTCACAGTGGACATGCACTTAAGATGAAAATTTCAGACCCCTCCATGATTTATAAGTTGGAGAACTTGCAAAGTCACAGGGTGTTCAAATACCTGTTTCCCTCACTGTAGACTGTAGATGCGAAAGCGTCAGTGGCTGCGTCGCTCACTTGGGCAGCCTGTGCTGAGACACCCACCCTCACCCACTCCACATGCATATGTCTTTATGTCACAAGTATATTGCTTTTTTTGTGCTGGTTTTTTTGCAGAAATATGATTTTTTTTTTTTTTTTTTTTTTTTACCTCCTCTTCCCTCATGTTCCCCTTTTTCTAATCTAAAGAAAAAGGAAACACCTCTCAGTGAGACTCAGGCTGCAGCCTCAGACACCTCATCTACCCTGTCTGTTGTTTGTTTGTTTGCGTTTCTTCGGATGAGCTGTATTGAAA